CAAGAGATGCCCCTTCCTCCTCTCTTTGATATGCAGCCTCAGCCAAGTTTTCATCTAATAAATATTTACTGCTGGAAACTAAGAGACACAAGCATCTGTAAGCCACGGGCTCTACCCTTCACCTCAAGTGCCTATTTCAACAGTGAATGAAACCGAAGCCCAGAGAGGGTAAGTGGCTTCTCTAAATCAGACAGCAGTAAATATCAGAGCCCTGATGAATAAATTCTCTACATTCATAATGCTTTTATTTTACACATATTAATATGCAATTTCTTAAAGTAAAAAGTATGCCCTAATATTAAAGTAGTTGGATGGTTAAGAATATTCACTTTGTCCGTTAAATGCTGACAAAATTGGGAAGTAAGGGAAAAGCTATCTTTGGTACTCTATCATCCATTAGATAACTTTTCCTTTCCACTCTTAGCATCAATGTCTTCATAGTTTTTTTCCGTAGCCCCCTCTTAAAATCTGTTTTCAAGAATTATATTACATACAACTTCCAGTAATGTATAAAATAAAAGTTTAAAATGCCATCCCTCCCAGGAAAACATTTCACATATTGTACATACATCTACCTCCAAGCCTTCTAATAAGCTCCTACCAAAGCATTTTAGGCAGCCTTTGGGAGGTGGCAGAGGTGGCTTCTGGTAGGATGAGACTGTCTCACCCTTGGCCCCATGACATCCTCCCAATTTACCTACATTGCCACCCCGAAGGCTGTTCTTGGAATTTCACACTGCACTTGGTTTTATTATTTCCAAGGAGGAATCTTTTCCAGAAGCTCTTAGAGTAATATGCTACCACTTGAGGATGCTTAGTATAGATAAACTATTCATTTAGGACTTTCATATGTTCCCAATTTCCTAGGAAGTTTCCTCAATGCTCACACCCTCACATCCTGGCCACTGTCCCTGGGATAAGTCACTTGGAGGCAGCTGTTTTCAGGATCCCCAAAAGCCTGAAGCAGAACAGGTTCTGAGGCAAAATCCTCTATAATTATATTTTAAAACAGTAGGTCTATCCTGGCTCCTAGGGAGACCAAGGCAGGTGAGTCACCTGAGGTCAGGAGTTCAAGACCAGCTTGGCCAACATGGTGAAACCCAGTCTCTACTAAAGATAAAAAGCTTAACCGGGCATGGTGGCAGACACCTGTAATCCCAGTTACTTGGGAGGCTGAGGCAGGAGAATAGATTGAACCCAGAAGGGGAGGTTATAGTGAGATGACATTACACCACTATACTCCAGCCTGGGTGACAGAGTGAGACTTTCTCTAAAAAAAAAAATAATAGAACAGTAGTTATAAGATGTTATTCATACATTCACACAACAAATATTTATTGAACTTTACTACATAGTATTCCTACTACTATAAAAATATCAGTAAAAGAAGATATTGCCTTTGCCCTTGGACAGGTCATAGTCCAGGAAGTGAGACCTGCAAACAAGTATAATAAAATACGCTACAGAAAGCTGTAAAACAAACAAAGATAATACACAATGGGAAGATAGATAAAGAAGTAAAATTCTTCTGCCAGGAGGAAGGGAAAACAGGGTTCAGGGAATACTTCAGAGAGTTGATGCCAACTCTCTGATGTTGGGCCTTGTGAGATATTAACAACCTCCTCCTCCTCCTCCTCCTCCTCCTCCTCCTCCTCTTCTTTTTAATTGACTTTTATTTTTTACAGAGGTTTTATGTCAACAGGAAAAGTAAGTGGGAAATTTCCCACATACCGTCTATCCCCACACAGGCACAGCCTCCCCAACTGTCAACATCCCATACTAGAGTGGTGCATTTGTTACAATTGATGAACGTACAATTACACATCACTATTACCCAAAGTCCATAGTTTACATTAACAGTCACTCTTGATGTTGCACATTCTGTGGGTTTTGATAAAATGTATAATGACACGTGTCCACTATTGTAATCTCATATAGAATAGTTCACTGCCCTAAAAATCCTCTGTGCTCTTTTTTCATCCCTCCCTCCCCACTAGCCCCTAACAACCATTGCCCTTTTTATTGCCTTCATAGTTTTGCCCATTTTCAAATGTCATACACTTAGAATCATACAGCCTTTTCAGATTGTGTTCTTTCACTTAATAATACACATTTAGGTTTCCTCCTTTTTTGTGTTTTGCCAGTTTATTTCTTTTCAATGGCATATGATGTTCCAATTTTGGATATACAAAAAAAGTTTACTTACCTACTGAAAGACATTTCCGTTGCTTCTAATTTGGACAATTATGAATAAAGCTGCTATACAAACTTTCTTTTTAAAAAAGTTTTTATTGAAACGTAATTTATTTACTATACAATCCACTTACCGAAAGTATACCACTCAACAGCTTTGAGCATATTCACAGTGTTATGCATGCATCACCACAATCAATTTTAGAACATTTTCATCACCCCAAAAAGAAACTCTGCTTCACTTAGCCTTCACTCTTCAATATTTGCATTCTTCCCTATGTTACCAGTAATCTACTTTCTATCTCTATCTATTTTTCATTTCTAGACATTTCAACTAAATGGAATCATACAATATGTGGATTTTTGTGTCTGGCTTCTCACCGTGATATTTTCAAAGTCCATTCATGTTGTAGCATGTATTAATACTTCATTTTTCTTTCTATGGACAAATGACACCCCATTGTATGGATATATCATGTTTTGTTTATCCATTGATTTAGTTGGTGAACATTTGAATTGTTTTCACTTTGGGGCTATAATGTTGCTGATACAGGAGTTAAGAAGAAATTACCTAGGCAGATAATAAGGGTATGGGAGTCCTCAGTAAATCTTTTCTTTTTAAAGAGAAGCAGCCCCAAATCATTTTCTAACAAGGAGCAGCCTGTAAATTTAAGCTACAGACATAGACAAGCAAGCTTGGAGCTTGCACAGATGAATGCTGGCAGGAACTAGGGGACTAGACATGTTCAAGATGGTGGCTCCATCTTCTTTTCTCTGTCAGCCACATGTACAATAAGGAGCAGAGAAGATGGCACCGATCAACTGGAAAGCCCATTTGCGTAATAAGATTAGGTTGGGGCAACCAGCCTTGCTCGTACACTATGTAAACATCATACCTGATTGAACCAATCTGTGAGCCCTATGGAAGTCAGACACTGCCTCCTCAAACCTGACTATAAAATTTGGTGCATTCGGTGCCAGCCAGTCTTTTCCACTTGGAGACTCTTCCTGGTCTATAGAGAGAACTGTTTCTCTTTCTCTTATCTTCTGCCTATTAAACCTCTGCTCCTAAACTCCCCATGTGTGTCTGTGTTCTAAATTTTCCTGACACACGATGATGAACGCCAGGTCATATACCCCAGATAATGTAGCCCCTTCAAACTGGGGGCTCATGTCTGATACCAAGGTACAACCTTCATCGACATGGTGAGTAGAGGAGCAGACTCCAACTCTGTCCTTTCATTTCAAGACTCTCGGCCTTCATTTTAGAACCAAATCAAACCAAATACTGGGCCCCCTTCAGCCATTTTAAAACAGTTAGCATGGCTGCCAGCCTTACGGGATTTAGCGGACAGGCTTACAGAGAAGAACATGGAGAATCCCCCCAGCATCCATGGGTTACTGATTCTTCACCTCCACAAGTTCTTTACCCTGAGCTTCATCCCAATTTTGTGCTTCTTAAAGCCTTCACAGAATCTGAATTATTTCTGCAATCCCAAGCTTCAGACACTGCAGGGTCAGTAGCATAAGCATGGACAGGTAAACAGAAGGATGGTTGACTGAGCGAGCTGTAGTGGACATCTATTTTGATTTGTTTTGTTTTGCTTTTGTTTTGACACCAAGCATTCACAAATTTTTCTGGAAAACCTACCTCAAGTGACCTCTAGAAAGCTCACCTCATTTATTAGTCCCAGTCTGTATAAATGGAGCAGCCTTCTCTTCAGACCTCTAATATTTTAAGGGTGTATATGTGCACACTCTTAGCCATAAGGAGCATTCTGCAAAGATTCATAATGAGCCTCCAAATATCTCTAACCCTCATGCGTAGTCAAGGACTCGCCTCTGGATCATGAGCTGCAGGTGTTCTAGACAATATCTGTTATATTCCACTAAGTCCATGAAGATCATAAGTGACACGTCCATCCTGATAGGTGCACCATATACACTAAGGGAAGATCTTGCATGTTGCCATCAACATGGCTAGAAAGAAGGCACAAAGATCACCTTCTCTAAAGAGAGGGATGCCGTGTTAACAACAGCCCTGCAGATACTGTTTTAGTCCTGAAACAACAGCCCCATGGACACTTCTGCCAAAATGGCATCTGTCAGCTTAGCAGTGCCCTGGTAAACCTCAAGGGGGTGGTGCCTAGATCCAGATTGACAAAGGGTCCTGATATGGGCATGATGGGACATAAACCTTTTTCCACTAGCATGACCATCCTTTCCTGGCTTCACTTTTTTCTTACTTTCTCATTCATTATAAGGCATCTTTTCCTTACTCTCAGCTATATTTTACCCTAGGAGGTAGGTGGTTGTCTGGTCAACATTCCTACCACAGATAGCTAGGTGATCTTTTTGCTCTCTGAAAATTTCATCAACCCAGGCAGCATGGAGAAATACACAGGGAAGGGAACTACTTCCCCAAGTGACTTATTAGTAGAAAGACCTCAACGTTGAGGTCAAAATGTGCTTCCCTAAATCATGAGGATGCCCTGCTTTTCAAACTCTTAAGCAGCATCCACAGTGTTCCTGACACCCTACCCCAACCAGCAATACCCCAAACACTACCACCAACTTACATAATGCTGTGGTCAGTGACAACGTTTTTTAAACAGTGATTAAACCCCTATGTCTGAAAAACATACCTGTCTTTGACCCTCTCTTCAGATATGCAAGGCCTGCCTTCCTACTGCTCTAAAGGACATGAAGCAGTGAATGGGGAGGAAGGTGCAGGCTGCCATACGGTATCAGTAAATCTCAAGCAAAGAAGTAGAAAAGAGCTCATCTCCTCAGACTTCATCAGGGAGAAAATGGACCTTTGGAGGCACGTGATACTCATTCCTCCACAAGAGCTCCAGAGGATTGGTCACCTTTTAAAAGTCAAATGAGGGAGTCAGTAAGAGCTGAACTAACTCCTACCTTTCCCTAACCACAAGCTTCGGTTGCCCAAAACCTATACCTCCCAACACAATACACAGAAAAGACACCAATCTCATTAGAACATTTATTAGGGAGAGTCAAGGTTCTCAACAAGGAGTGAATTATTTTGTGGGGGAAAATTTTCCTCTCTGGAAATGCTTCGGAAGCGTTTTCTCTCCAGTTGGTAAAGGCACATCACTGAACACACTGCTTTTAGCACTGGTTGGGACAGCTGGACACGCCAGGGTGACATGACACCAACAAGTGGGGTTTGAATGTGGCATAGGCTTCCTGTGGGGCATGGATGGGGGATGGCTTTGACACAATATCTTCCCCTTAAATGCCTCAACTTTCTCGGGCTGTCTGTACTTGTCTATGATCTGTTTAATCATTATAGGATAATTCTGGCCAACAAAGATAGCTTGTTGGCTGCAAGACTTGGTACATGTCACTTTGCGGGAGGGAGCTGTGCAGTTGTGGGGATAGCCTTGGACAGGCTCTGCTCTGCCCTCCACATCTGGCCCGTGCTTAGCTTTCCCAAATTCTACTGGGGAGGCAAGGGGCTCTTGGGGACAGGTGACATCTATCCCATGCCTATGCCACAGCTTCTAGGAACTCCCCAGTGTCTTTCCTAATTTTCTGAGCTTCAGTAGTCCCAGTAAAAGCAGCTCTACTTGTAACTCGACCTCTATTCTGCACAGATGATGACAGGGAGCTATCCTTTCCCTGGGAACTTTCTTGTTCTTCATATGTTATGCTGGGTTTATTAAACTGCTGCAAAAAGGTCTTCATCCACTTTCTGAAAAGGTTTTCAGGAGGAGGCTGTGTTTTCAAAGTTAGGGAAGATTTGCTCCCAAGCAACTCCCTTGATGTCTTGTTATCAATAGCGTGGCTCTTTCTCCTGAGTTGGGATAGTTGGGATGTCCCGAACCCTGCATCCCCTCCACCAACCTCTCCTCCCTTGGGTCTTAGAGGGCTCACTCTCTTTGTAGCTGGTGAAAAATTCTTAACTTGGCATTTCTGTAAGACATGGGTAGGGACCTGGGTTCCTGCTGCTGTGCCGCACAGATCCCTCTGTCCTCCAAGTGGACATGCAGCACCTGGGAAGTTTCCATGTCCAGACTTGAAATGCCCTGGGGATGAGTCAGTAAGTCCTTGGAACTCAAGTTCTCTAAGGCAAGAGACATGTCAGTGAAATGGCTCTGAAGTTGGCTATCCTTTCTCTGGACCAACTTTAACTGACTCAGCATCTGATTTTTAAGATATGATGATTTAGGATCTTGGGGAACTGATACTCTTGGTGGGAAAATTTCAGTTTCATGAGATGTGCTTGTTTTTACATTTGTCTCTAAGCACCTTCCTGACTTGCTGGATGTCAAGTTGTTCCTATTTTGTGATTGAAGAGCACAGCTCTCCTCTTCCTTGAACATCTCCTTCGACCCATTGGTGACAGGAAAGGTCTTTCTACTGCCCTGAAACCTGTTAACATTACTGGCACTCTCTCTCTTATCCCTTGACTCACGGCCAACTGCAGCTTGCATTATGGGCAGCTCTGTGCTGCACCTACTGGCCAGTATAGTCTGTTTCTGACTGACTTCGTCTATGATGCTATGTGCGGGGGGCAGAAAAGTCTGTCCGCCATCCTCAGTTGTTGGGACACTTTCTGTAAGATCATTGTCAGTATCAGCGAATTCTCTTTTCAGGGTCTCCTGCTTTTCTTCATCAATAGGTGAGGAGACCAGTTGAGGATGACCCAGGGTGGAGAATGAGCTTGTTGTTTCTAACTTTTCTCCTTGAAAATCTGTAGTGCCTTTTCTAAGGGGCATGGAGGCCCCATCTTTGGAATCTCTCTCTATAAGGTCATGGTCAGCATCAGTAAATTGTCTTCCTAGAGTCTCCGGTTTTTCTTTGCCAACAGGTGAGGTGACATGATGAGGATTATCGAGGACAGGGACTGAGCTTGTTGTTCCCAACTTTCCTCCTTGGGAAGTGCTTTGTCTATTAGAGTTAGAGACCCCATCTTTGATATCTCCCCGAGAAATGAAGGTGGCTGAGGAGGGAAAATTGAAATGGGAAAAGGAATTGGAAAGGTCCTCTTTCAATTTGAAGATTTCCATGTATTCCAGGACCTTGTGGGGAACGCCCCACAGCATCTTCATATGGGAAGATTTAATATGAGTTTCAAACATCTTTTGTTTGTTGGAGCTAAGGAAAGAAATCTCCTGGGAAGTATCAACGCCATGGTCCTCACTCACCAATGCTGCCATATTTCGATGTTTTATTTGGCTGTGGGATTCCTCAGCAAGAGACATTGTCTGCTTGACTGAATGCCATGAACTATGCACAGTCCCAGGCATTCGACCCTCATTGATTTCCTCAAATTTCTTGCTCAAATGTACTGTCAGGGCATTTTCAAGTTGTTTCTGACCTAGGCTCTCCCCACACACTTTCCTGCACTTTCTGCAACACGTTACACTCCAGAAGATTAATTTCAGATGGCGTAAGAGACCATGCCTCATTCTAGGGTATATGAAAACACACTCCACAGATCCTAATCAGGAATAGAGGACTAGGTAGTAGGGCTGGGAGTGGAGATTGATGTTGATCGTGGGACTGGACCTGAGTGAGATGTGGGGACTGACCTTGGGGCAGGATTTGAGGCAAGGGTAGAGCTTGGGTATCAGGCAAGGACAGAGGTTGGGGAGGGGGAAGTACTTGGGATTCCTGGGATATAGATGTATTTGTAATGCCATTGAAGAATACAAACATGGAGGAATGGCCACGTTGGCCAAGAACAGTAGGGTAAAGGGACTCGCTGTGCAGAGATGGGAGACCCCAGAAGAGCTGCACATATTTTTGTTCTAAATGGTCCTCAAAGCACTTAGAGTATGGGGGCTGCTGATGGATGTGCTGCCCCTCTAGTTTGCCTTTACTAGCCCAAAAAGTAAGGGAGGCTGCCAAGTCATGCTTATCAGCAATTGAGGCTAACATTTTCCGTGAAGACTTTAGCTGGTAGTTTGGCCTAAGTTGTGTTGGGAAAGATCCTGCTTTGTTTTCATTTTCTTTCCACATCAGGAGATCACACCTTTTTTTGACTTGTCTCTCCAGGAGTGCCAGAATGTCATGACTGACAAAGGAGATGTTAACAGGCTGTATGACGTTGGCCACAGAGTGCCACCCTAAAGGGGCCTCAGAAGAATGAAGGGTAAGAAGCTCCTCCATGAAATCAGATGGCACAAAATTGGAGGAAAAAGAGTCCTTGGCATGAGGATGCCACCAGGAGAATTCTGAAGATGCAGGGCATGAATGGTCAATGCCTTTGATTGTTGGGGCATAGGTGGATGTCCCACCAGAGCCACCTAGAGATAACGTCTCCGGAAAAGGCTTCAAGATGGTGAGTCTTGATTTCAACGGAGTCACAGTGCAGTCTTCTGATGGTAAAGCAGATGGGATTGGTGGTTTGTGATGATGAGCACGTGAATCAGTGGGATTCATGGCCTGGGAAATATCTTGGCATATGGTGGAGTCAAGTGAAAAGGTGGTGTTCAGAGACATACTGGCCACAGGATAGAGGTTGGGCTCCGCTCTCTGAATGTGATGTTGTGGGAGAAGGGGAAAGGGAAGCTCTTCGGGTGGGGAATGGTCTACGGGGAACTTGGAATCCAGGGGAGAAACAGGCTATGGTGGCAGAGGGTCCCTCAGTGATGAGGGTGAAAACAAGTCAGCTAAGGAGGTGATCAAGTCAGGTGAGAGAATTAACTGGGGCAGTGGAGAAGGCTTAGGCCGAGGGGACAATATTAGGTCTTCTGGAGGGGTTGCTGAGGGGGTGGAAGACAGAGTGAACGATGACTCAGTTGCAGAAGCTGCAGAAGTCAAAGGAGACACAGAAGGAGCAGCATCTTTCAGGGACTCCCAAGACAGCAGTCGCTGGATATCAGCAGTTGCCCTGTTACACACCTGACAGAGGGGGTCTGGGCATAACAGTCGACGAAAGCGGGTGGTATCATGATGCTGGCCCAGGAGACCGCAGGAAACAGGAGATCCAAAGCTGCAGCCAGAACCAGAACAAGGAAAGGAGGGTCTATTAGCCTGGCATGGGTGGGGCCCCCTGAATCCTGCTGCCCACTTCACATTGCCCCCCTCCCATGACCTTACCATATATGAGGTCATATGACCTCACTATAGCCTCTCTACAAGCATTCATTCACATACCCGTTCCTATGGCTACCCACTCCCAAAACTACAGCAGCCTACAAGGAATCCCTGAAATGAATAAAACATGCTAAAAAAAAAAAAAAAAAAAAAAAAACAAGAAGAATCAAAACTGAAATCCTTGCCTATTCTAAGCATAATTTTATTACACACTACTGCACTCCAGCCTGGGCGAGAAAGTGAGACTCTGTCTCAAAAAAAAAAAAAAAAAAAAAAAAAAAAAAAAAAAAAAAAAGAGGGGGTGGGAACAGGACAGAAGGGGAGTGATTAATCACCTTTTCAGAATAGAAAGCAGCTTCCTTTCCTCTTCTACTTCCCTCTGGAAACTTTTGCCGTCTGGGAAAACAGAACAATATATTATATGCAATGAACGTAGAGGCACAGGAATCATACAGAAGTCACTCTGTGGAAGACCCTTGGGATATTAAACTCTGATAGCCCCAAGAATCAGTAGGAAAAGGCAAATAGTTATTGATAATATTCACAAGTTCTCATCTGTATTTGGCATCATTAGTAAAGTCCTTTCATATACATTACCCCATGTGATGCTCGAAACCACCACATGAAACACAGACATCAGTGGTTACCTCCAGGAGGAATCTGAGCATCAAGTAAGTTAAAGTACTTTTGCAAAGTTGTGAGACAGAAACTGTGTCTTCAGGCCAACCAGTAGTCCTTCCTCAATATCGCAGTTGGCCACCAATTGGGCAACACCCATTACTCAGGTCCATCACTCCATCATGCTCATGAATGGGCAGAGCAGGGACTATGAGTTGTGTCTCGTGTCTGATTGCTTTCCCATGAGCCAGTCTTCTTAGGGCGTTTTCTGAAACTATCTAGTAACTGACATTCTAAGAAATCATGGGACTGACTCCTCATGAAAGAGACAGGAAGGGTCACCCTGAAGCTCAGATAGAGCAGGCTGGCATTACCTTTTAATGTTCCACCTTTCCTTCTCCTCCTGGGTCTGCCCTGATGCTGAGAACAAAAGAAAGATAATGACAGACTGGGACACACTTCTCTCACACCCTATGAAGCTCATTCATTTATTTATTCATTATACAAGAATTATATGACACTATAATTAATAGAAATATGATCCTGTTGTCAATTTTTGAAGGTGATAAAATATTTCCTGTTTTTCCTTCTCTGAAAAGCTGAAAGAGGATTTCTTCTGTGAGAGCCACACTTGATGTGCTGAGTTAGAAGTCCTCATCCAGGGCACAGACTCAGAGTCCAACAGTCACATCTGTGCTCCCTCACAGGGCAAGTGTCCCAGAGACAGACCCCTGGCTCCAGCCTCTGCTCAGAGACTCTCAGCATTACTTCCCTGTCAGCCCAACATGAAGGCTTTGTTGAATGACAGTTGACATGGGAATGTGACTCATGATCAAATTTCAGCAGAGACTGTTCTCCTTCAGAGAGCCCATACTCTCTAAATAATCCCATCTGGGACCACAGAATTACTGTGTTTAGGATTTTATCCTGAAACTCTCCACCACAGCCAGATAGGTAGTCTATGAGCTACAGATGGAAACCTTAGTCCACCTGAACCAATAAGTCTGCCCAACCTCTTCCACAGAAGAGTGAAGCTCTATCCTCTCTTCAGACTTCCCATGTAAGACATGTCTCTGAACCAACCAGACTTATTTAGGAATGTGGGAATAGGTTTGGGAAACAACAACAGGGCATCTCTCTTGGGTGTTCACCCACAGTCCCTTACCTTTTGGATGTCATTATTTTTTTCGGTGGGTGACAAATACAGGGTCAATACCATGTAGAACAAGTACAGTATAAACAATCCCAACCCACTCAAGCAAATGAAGGTGGGGTCAATATCCAAGTAATGTGAGTCAGGGCTCAGCCCTGTCTCAATATAGCTGCTCAGAAAACAGAGGATATTCTCCATGATCTGAATAGCTCGGCTGCCTGAAGCAACTGAGCACTGAGAGTGCCCAGGCTTAACTATAAACCCAGGCCTGCATCACAGAGCATGGAAGAGTCACAGAGGGTTTCTGAGGGTGGAGGGAGCAACAAAAGGGGGGTGTGTCCACAGCCCCAACCCCACCAGCACAGCCAACTCTCCTGGGCTCTCTGGGTCCCTTTGCCCTATCCTGCCACTCCATTTCCCAAGTCCATCCTTTTTCATGTCATGTATTTATCTTAGTGGAATTTTCAGTTTGTTCCAACAGTAAACCAGGCATTACCCAAGTCTCGCTTTACTGTTTGGAGCCCTTAACTTGGACCCCACCAAGTACGCTCCCTTGAAAGCCTGAAATACTGCCTGGAATATTTGTTGTACCCAGGCTTTGCTACTCTCAGGATCACATATGTCCTCAAATCCATCTTATCTACACAATATTTTTGCCTTACATAAATGCAGATAGAAAACTTAAATTTGCTTTATATTTATTTCGTTTGGTGAATGTTGAACATTACTTTTTTTTTTTAAGTCAGTTTTTACAATTTCCAATCAGAGGGACTGTCTCAAATGATTAAGACTAATGTTAGCAAGCCGGGCGCGGTGGCTCAAGCCTGTAATCCCAGCACTTTGGGAGGCCGAGACAGGCGGATCATGAGGTCAGGAGATGGAGACCATCCTGGCTAACCCGGTGAAACCCCGTCTCTACTAAAAAATACAAAAAAAAAACTAGCCAGGCGAGATGGCGGGCGCCTGTAGTCCCAGCTGCTCGGGAGGCTGAGGCAGGAGAATGGCGTAAACCCGGGAGGCGGAGCTTGCAGTGAGCTGAGATCCGGCCACTGCACTCCAGCCTAGGCGACAGTACCAGACTCCGTCTCAAAAAAAAAAAAAAAAAAAAGACTAATGCTAGCAAGGAAAAGAAGCTCACAGCCCAATTTTGGTTTTTGAGAAAAGAAGTTTTTTATTGTAAATTAACCAACAAGGAGACAGGAGTCCAGCTCAAATATGTCCCCTGTGCTGGCTTTCATGTGGTCATTTTATTAGAAGAGGTTTAGGGGGTGGCCTCTGGAATTAATAGTTGATTGGTGGAAGGAAAGGGGAGGTCTGAAAGTCCTCAGCATCCACAGTTTAGTTTAACGCTCCTTCATGTATAACATGTGCACTTTTGTGGGGAGTTGGTTGAAACGTGGCAGAAATTTGGGCTGTGACATCAGCCAGCTTGTTCTGTGCAAACTCCAGTTGGCCTTAATAGTTTTAATCCATTTTAGCCAATTTTTAAATCTCAGAAGCAGGGAGAGTTCTGGCATTTTAGCAAGTTATTGTTTTTTTTGTTGTTTAATCGGCTATCCTGTAAACTGATTAATTTTATTAGTCATTGGTTTCTTCAACTCTCAGGGGCATGGTTTCACTAATAATTCATCACTTAACATCTACAAAATGAAAATAAATGTACAATAAATGTATATAATTAAAATTTCAAGGGATCTTAGGTGTAAATTTATAGAGCTTTTTTTCCTGAAGTTAGTGAAGTTTAAACTGTTCAAGCACTTTTGGAACATACTCTGTACACAGACACACATACTCCTTGACATAAAGGAAGAAGCTGATGGAAAATTATTATAAGTAGGGAGTTCATTTGGGTCAAGCTTGAGGATTGCAACCTGGGAACACAGATGTAAGTCGACCTAAATATACACTCCAATTAGCAGCAGTTACAAGTGGGTTTTTAAGTCAAAAAAGGGGACAAGGAGTGAGCTGATACAAAATTGTAATCAGGAATTCTCATTGGTTTACAGAAGTGACATAGATTAATGATTGGGTATACACTGTTAAGCTATAGGGTGTGGGTTGTAGTGTCAGGTGTGGCATTACTGGGTTACTATGTAACTCCATGTGGCAATAGCAAGCAGTTTCAAGAGATGAATACATAGCTCAAGGAGGAGATACGGCTGTGATTGCTGTCTCATTTTAATGTCTCTCTAGGCCTGATAACTTAAAAGGACTCACAGTCCTCAGATAAAATTCTTTTCTTTACAAACACATCCACACACTCATCCTGTGACAAATCAATCAATATATCCAAAACCAGAATCAATTAGTTCCTCCATTTATTTCAGTCTCTTATTTGTCATTTTGAGCCCACATTTTCTAACTACCTCAAATGCAGCAAGTCCCAACCCTCTACATCAATTTGGTAACAAGTATGCAACTCCTTAAAGCAGGGATAGGTTACAGTGCCCTAAGCTATTGTATCTAAGAGACCAAAACAGATGCCCCTTTATCTACAAAGACAGACCCTAAGGTTAAGGAAACAAAGTTACCTATGGGTCAAGGGTTCAGGGCCCAGATGGCATGGCAAATTTCCTAACTTTCTATAACTGAACTCCCTCTAACCAAACCATCTATCAGCTCTGATTGGACAGAGGACCGGCCTTATGTTCTTTTCTGATAAGCTACTAATATTACAGATTTCCAGTTTCTGCCAACTTATGGAGGCGGCACACGAACCACCTGTGTCCTGTAGTTCATCTTGTGATGTAAAGGGCCAAATTCTAACTCATTTTAGTGCTAAACCCCCACTCCAAAGTGAACATGGGATGTATGTTACATACGTTTATTCATTATGGTGTGCTCGGCACCTGCATAAATATGTATAGCTTTTCCCACAAATTGTTGAATATGTATGAATATGAATATAAAACCCAACCTGTCCTTCCCCTATTCCAACAGAGAGCACCTTCAGTCCACACTGGATGCTTTCCCTTCCTGGCTTGCAAACTGATGAGAGCAATGAGGCTCTCCTTTCTACTATTTAGCCATCTTGGTGGTCTTTTGGATGATACTACTGATGCCATCAGCCTTTGGTAGCAGAGTGGGACCCAGGCGTGTCAAAGCCTTAGAGCAGAATGGGGTCTTAGGCAACCTCACCTGATTACACTGTGGGCCATGTAAATGTGATCTTTTCCTGAGTGCCTTGGCATCCAAAAAAACTTGAGAACATCTGCTCTATATTCTATATAATCACTTCTGCAAATGTCCAAATACCAACTGCTTGTCATACTTTATTCAGATGACTCATGTCAGGTTTAAATGATCCCAATATCCCCCACCCCTGACCTGTCTTCCTACACATTCTTTTCTAAACTCTTTATCATGACAGCTGTCCTCTGAACTGCTCTTAACTTCTCATGTCTTTCTTAAACTATTGTTAAAGCAAACAAATATGGCCTGAGAAGGACTCCATACTTCTATATTGGAGTCCTTGCAGATGAACTGTAACCTAGCCTAATAGTTAGACAAATTGGAAACCTAACTCAATAGTATGGACCTGTAACAATAGCTGAGTGTTGGCCAATCCCAGCGGCCCTACTTCAACCACTCATAGACTACTGAATATTCAAACTGTGTTCAAATAAGGCAAAGGCCAAGTTGTAATCAATCTCACTCTTTCTGTACCACACTTCTGATTCATGTACGTCATTTTGCCTTTTTGGTCCATAAATTGGTTCTAACCATGAGGCACCCGTGGAGTCTCTGTGAATCTGCTGTGATTCTGGGGGCTAACCAATTTGCAAATCTTTCATGCTCAGTTAAACCGCTTTAAACTTAATTTCTCTGAAGTTTCTTTTAATACTGTAAAGCTCCTTATTAGACAACCATGGGCCACCACTGTTACCCATGGGCCACCAGTGTTACTGATCTCTTTGGAAAGGTTAAGACAGCCTTCAACTCAGGCCGGGTCTCCTTTCATTTATGCAGGAGCAGGTAACCTGCCTTGAGGATAAAATCTGCCAAGAGATGCCCCTTCCTCCTCTCTTTGATATGCAGCCTCAGCCAAGTTTTCATCTAATAAATATTTACTGCTGGAAACTAGGAGACACAAGCATCTGTAAGCCACGGGCTCTACCCTTCACCTCAAGTGCCTATTTCAACAGTGAATGAAACCGAAGCCCAGAGAGGGTAAGTGGCTTCTCTAAATCAGACAGCAGTAAATATCAGAGCCCTAATGAATAAATTATCTACATTCATAATGCTTCTACTTTACATAATATTAATATGCAATTTCTTAAAGTAAAAAGTATGCCCTAATATTAAAATTAAAGTAGCTGTATGGTTAAGAATATTCACTTTGAGCTGGGCGCAGTGGCTCACGCCTGTAATCCCAACACTTTGGGAGGCCAAGGCAGGTGGATCACGAAGTCAAGAGATCAAGACCGCGGTGAAACCCCGTCTCTACTAAAAATACAAAAAAATTAGCCAGGCGTGGTGGCGGGCACCTGTAGTCCCAGCTACTCAGGAGGCTGAGGCAGGACAATGGCGTGAACACTGGAGGCGGAGCTTGCAGTGAGCCGAGATCTCTCCACTGCACTCCAGCCTGGGTGACAGAGCAAGACTCCATCTCAAAAAAAAAGAATATTGACTTTGTCCATTAAATACTGACAAATTTAGGAAGTAACGAAAAGCTATTTTTGGTACTCTATCACACCTTAGATAACTTTTCCTTTCCACTCTTAGCATCAACGTCTTCATAGTTTTTTTTCCTAACCCCCTCTTAAAATCTCTTTTCAAGAACTATATTACATATGACTCCCAGTAATGTATAAAATAATAGTTTAAAATGTCATCCCTCCCAGGAAAACATTTCACCCATTCTACATATATTTACCTCCATGCCCTATAACAAACTTACCAAAGCATTTTAGGCAGCCTTTGGGAGGTGGCAGAGGTGGCTTCTGATAGGATGAGACTGTCTCACCATTGACCCCATGACATCTTCCCAATTTACCTACATCACCACCCCGAAGTCTGCTCTTGGATTTCACACTGCACTTGGTTTTATTATCTCCAAGGAGGCGTCTTTTCCAAAAGCTCTTAGAGTAATATGATACCACCTGAGGATGCTCAGTATAGATAAACTATTCGTTTAGGACTTTCATATGTTCCCAGTTTCCTAGGAAGTTTCCTCAATGCTCACACCCTCACATCCTGACCACTGTCCCTGGGATAAGTCACTTGGAGGCAGCTGTTCTCGGGATCCCCAAAAGCCTGAAGCAGAACAGGTTCTGAGGCAAAATCCTCTATAATTATATTTTAAAACAGTAGTTTTATCCCAGTTCCTTGGGAGACCAAGGCAAGTGGATCACCTGAAGTCAGGAGTTCAAGACCAGCTTGGCCAACATGGTGAAACCCAGTCTCTATTAAAGATACAAAAACTTAACCGGGCATGGTGGCAGACACCTATAATCCCAGTTACTTGGGAGGCTGGGGCAGGAGAATAGATTGAATCCAGAAGGGGAGGTTATAGTGAGATGACATTACACCACTATATTCCAGCCTGGGCAACAGAGTGAGACTCTGTCTAAAAAAAAATAAAAATAATACAACAGTAGTTATAAGATGTTCTTCATATATTCACACAACAAATATTTATTGAACTTTACTGTATAGTATTCCTACTACTATAAAAATATCAGTAAAAGAAGACATTGCCTTTGCCCTTGGACAGGTCATAGTCCAGGAAGTAAGACTTGCAAACAAGTATAATAAAATACGCTACAGAAAGCTGTAAAACAATCAAAGATAATACACAATGGGAAGGTAGATAAAGAAGTAAAATTCTTCTGCCAGGAGGAAGGGAAAGCAGAGTTCAGGGAATACTTCAGAGAGTTGATGCCAACTCTCTGATGTTGGGCCTTGTGAGATATTAACAACCTCCTCCTCCTCCTCCTCCTCTTCTTCTTTTTAATTGACTTTTATTTTTTACAGAGGTTTTATGTCAACAGGAAAAGTAAGTGGGAAACTTCCTACATACCGTCTATCCCCACACAGGCACAGCCTCCCCAACTGTCAACATCCCATACTAGAGTGGTACATTTGTTACAATTGATGAACATACAATTACACATCACTATTACCCAAAGTCCATAGTTTACATTAACAGTCACTCTTGATGTTGCACATTCTGTGGGTTTTGACAAATGTATAATGACACATATCCACCATTGTACTATCATATAGAATAGTTCACTGCCCTAAAAATCCTCTGTGCTCTTTTTTCATCCCTCCCTCCTCACTAGCCCCTGACAACCATTGCCATTTTTACTGCCTTCATAGTTTTGCCCATTTTCGAATGTCATACACTTAGAATCATACAGCCTTTTCAGATTGTATTCTTTCACTTAATAATACACATTTAGGTTCCTTCCTTTTTTGTGTTTTGCCAGTTTATTTCTTTTCAATGGCATATGATGTTCCATTTTTGGATATACAAAAAAAGTTTACCTACTGAAAGACATTTCCGTTGCTTCTAATTTGGACAATTATGAATAAAGCTGCTATACAAACTTTCTTTTTAAAAAAGTTTTTATTGAAACATAATTTGTTTACTATATAATTCACTCACCGAAAGTATACTACTCAACAGCTTTGAGCATATTCACGTGTTGTGCATGCATCACCACAATCAATTTTAGAACATTTTCATCACCCCAGAAATAAACTGCTTCACTTAGCCTTCTCTTCAATATTTGCATTCCTCCCTATGTTACCAGTAATCTACTCTCTGTCTCTATCTATTTTTCATTTCTAGACATTTCATCTAAATGGAATCATACAATATGTGGATTTTTGTGTCTGGCTTCTTACCGTGATATTTTCAAGGTCCATTCATGTTGTAGCATGTATTAATACTTCATTTTTCTTTCTATGGACAAATGACACCCCATTGTATGGATATATCACATTTTGTTTATCCATTGATTTAGTTGGTGAACATTTGAATTGTTTTCACTTTGGGGCTATAATGTTGCTGATACAGGAGTTAAGAAGAAATTACCTAGGCAGATAATAAGGGTATGGGAGTCCTCAGTAAATCTTTTCTTTTTAAAGAGAAGCAGCCCCAAATCATTTTCTAACAAAGAGCAGCCTATAAATTCAAGCTACAGACATAGACAAGCAAGCTTGGAGCTTGCACAGATGAATGCTGGCAGGAACTAGGGAACTAGACATGTTCAAGATGGTGGCTCCATCTTCTTTTCTCTGTCAGCCACATGTACAATAAGGAGCAGAGAAGATGGCACCGATCAACTGGAAAGCCCATTTGCGTAATAAGATTAGGTTGGGGCAACCAGCCTTGCTCGTACACTATGTAAACATCATACCTGATTGAACCAATCTGTGAGCCCTATGGAAATCAGACACTGCCTCCTCAAACCTGACTATAAAATTTGGTGCATTCGGTGCCAGCCAGTCTTTTCCACTTGGAGACTCTTACTGGTCTATAGAGAGAACTGTTTCTCTTTCTCTTATCTTCTGCCTATTAAACCTCTGCTCCTAAACTCCCCATGTGTGTCTGTGTTCTAAATTTTCCTGGCACAGGATGATGAACGCCAGGTCATATACCCCAGATAATGTAGCCCCTTCAAACTGGGGGCTCATGTCTGATGCCAAGGTACAACCTTCATCGACATGGTGAGTAGAGGAGCAGACTCCAACTCTGTCCTTTCATTTCAAGGCTCTTGACCTTCATTTTAGAACCAAATCAAACCAAATACTGGGCCCCCTTCAGCCATTTTAAAACAATTAGCATAGCTTCCAGCCTTGCAAGACTTAGAGGATAGGCTTACAGAGAAGAACATGGAGAATCCCCCCAGCATCCACAGGTGACTAATTCTCCACCTCCACAAGTTCTTTGCCCTTGGTTTCATCCCAATTTTGTCCTTCTTAAAGTCTTCTTGAAGTCTGAATTATTTCTGCAATCCCAAGCTTCAGACACTTCAGGGTCAGCGGCATAAGCATGGACAGGTACAGAGAAGGATGGTTGAGTGAGGGAACTGTAGTGGACATCCGTTTTGATTTGTTTTGTTTTGCTTATGTTTTGACACTAAGCATTCATAAATTTTTCTGGAAAACCTACTCAAGTGCCCTCTAGAAAACAAATCTCATTTTTGGCCAAGCACGGTGGCTCACGCCTGTACCCCAGGACTTTGGGAGGTCGAGGCAGGCAGATCACGAGGTCAGGAGATCCAGACCATCCTGGCTAACACGGTGAAACCCTGTCTCTACTAAAAATACAAAAAAATTAACCGGGTGTGGTGGCGAGTGCCTGTAGTTCCATCTACTCGGGAGGCTGAGGCAGGAGAATGGTGTGAACCCGGAGGCGGAGCTTGCAGTGAGCCGAGATTGCACCACTGCACTCCAGCCTGGGTGATAGAGCGAGACTCCGACTCAAAAAAAAAAAAAAGAAAAAAGATAATGTTTTAGTCCATAATGAACAGCCCCATGTACACTTCTGCCAAAATGGCATCTGTGAGCTCTGCAGCACCATGGTAATCCTCAAGGGGGTGGTGCCTAGGTCCAGATTGAGAAAGGGTCGTGATATGGGCATGAAGGGCATAAACCTTTTTGCACCAGCAGCCTCATCCTTTCCTAGTTTTTTTTTCTTACTTTCTCATTCATTCTAAAGCATCTTTTCCTTACTCTCAGCTATACTTTACCTAGGTGGTTGCCTGATCAACATTCCTGCCACAGACACCTAGGTGATCTTTTTGCCCATTAAAAATGTCATCAATCCAGGCAGCCTGGAGATATACACAGTGAGGGGAACTACTTCCCAAAAGTGACTTTTTAGTAAAAAGATCTCAATATCGAGGTCAAAATATGCTTCCCCAAATCATGAGGATGCCCTGCTTGTCAAATTCTTAAGCAGCATTCACAGTGTTCCTGATACCCTACCCCAACCAGCAATACCCCAAACACTCCCACCAACTTGTATGACAACTTTTTAAAAATCGTGATTAAACCACTATTTCTGAAAATTTTACCTGTCCTTGACCCTCTCTTCAGATATGGAAGGCCTGTCTTCCTTATTGCTCTAAAAGAGATGAAGCAGTGAATAGGGAGGAAGGTGCAGGCTGCCATACAGTATCAGTAAGTCTCAAGCAAAGAGGTAGAAAAGAGCTCATCTCCTCAGACTTCATCAGGGAGAGAAGGGGCTTTTGGAGGCACATGATACTTATTCCTCCACAAGAGCTCCAAGGGATTGGTCACCTTTTAGAAGTCAAAGGAGGCCGGGTGCAGTGACTCACACCTGTAATCCCAGCACTTTGGGAGGCCGAGGCGGGCGGATCACGAGGTCAGGGTATTGAGACCATCCTGGCTAGCATGATGAAACCCCGTCTCTACTAAAAATACAAAAAATTAGCCGGGCGTGGTGGCGGGCGCCTGTAGTCCCAGCTACTCAGGAGGCTGAGGCAGAAGAATGACATGAAGGAGGCGGAGCTTGCAATGAGCAGAGATTGTGCCACTGCACTCTAGCCTGGTGGACAAGCAAGACTCCGTCTCAAAAAATAAATAAATAAAAAAAAGAAGTCAAAGGAGGCTGTCAGCAAGAGCTGAGCTAACTCCTACCTTTCCCTAACCACAAGCTTGTGTTACCCAAAACCTATACCCCCCAACACAATACACAGAGAAAATATTATTCTTATTAGAATATTTATTGGGGAGAATCAAGATTCTCAACAAGAAGTGAATTATTGTGGGGGGAAATTTTCCTCCCTGGAAATGCTTTGGAAGCATTTTCTGTCCAGTTAGTAAAGGCACATCACTGAACACAGTGCTTTTAGCACTGGTCGGGACGACTGGACACACCAGGCTGACATGATACTGGCAAGTGGGGTTTGGATGTGGCATAGGCTTCCTGTGGGGCATGGATTTGGGGATGCCTTTGACACAATATCTTCCCCTTAAATGCCTCAACTTTCTGGGGCTGTCTGTCCTTGTCTATGATCTGTCTAATCATTGTAGGATAATTCTGGCCAACAAAGATAGCTTGTTGGCTGCACGATTTTGTACATATCAGTTTGCAGGAGGGAGCCATGTAGTTACAGGGATAGCCCTGTACAGGCGCTGCTCTGACCTGCACTTCTAGGTTGTGCTGAGCTTTCCCAAGCTCCACTGGGAAGACAAGGGGCTCTTGGGGACAGGTGATATCTATCCCATGCCTATGCCCCAGCTTCTCCTCTAGGAACTTCCCAGTGTCTTTCCTAATTTTCTGAGCTTCAGTAGTCCCAGTAAAGGCAGCTCTACTTTTAATTTGACCTCTATACTGCACAGATGATGACAGGGAGGTACCCTTTTCCCAGGAACTTTCTTGTTCTTCATCTGTTATGTTGGCATTATTAAAATGGTGAGTAGAGGAGCAGACTCCAACTCTGTCCTTTCATTTCAAGGCTCTCAGCCTCCATTTTAGAACTAAATCAAACCAAATACTGGGCCCCCTTCAGCCATTTTAAAACAATTAGCATAGCTTCCAGCCTTGCAAGACTTAGAGGATAGGCTTACAGAGAAG